TTCCTGCAGCTTGCAAGCTGTTGTCTTCAAGAGTCCTTGGCGTAGACCACGTTGGGTTAAAAAACCCTTTTCTTCAGGAGAAAAAAATTGAGCTTTCAGCCTTCTGTTTCTGTCCTGCTTCATCCTGTAACTGATGGCCAAGTAGGTAGACAAGGACTCAAAAAAAAAAACCAACCCCACGTAGGTCTCATTTTTGAGGCGTGTTCCTCAAGAGAGGTGCTTCAGACCATGCATGATCACCAAGGTTCTTTAAGCGTGAACCTCTCAGAGCTGAAGGAATTGAGACAGGCCCAGTGTTAGATCCCTAGGTCCTAGGTGTTGTGAGTATGTCATGGTGATGCGTAGCTAGCTTTGAGATCCTTGGAGCATTGGTAGGTGGAACCAGCTCTTCCACGTAATAAGGCAGGTTGTTGGCCAGGACTTATGGTCCCCACTGCTCAGTGGATTGGCATATGCCTTGGAGGCAAGGGATCCAGTCTTTATTATTTCCAAATGGAGCAGAAAATGTTACCACCAGCTGTTAGTAAGAGGACTATGTTAAGAGGACTAAGTGCTTTGGTTCAATCTACGGCAGATTCTCCTGCTTGTAGCTAATGAGTTCTAGTTGAGAGAGGTGACTCCTTTTGCCACTAAGGAGAGGTGCTAAGAAACTGATGGGACTTCTCTCCACCATCAGCTAAGGTGCAGTGGTGGGAGACCACCCAATCCTTGTCAGTTAGTCCTCGGATTACCCCTGTAGACCATGTCCCAACCTCAAGGAGCTTCTGAGAGAGAGAAAACGGTGCACCTGGGACCAAACAGACACAGCTACCCACCGACACGCTCAGAGGCCAACCGTAGAATCTGTTTTAGCAGAGCCGTCTGTACCTTGGACCGCAGTAAGCAGGGACAAACATGTTCTTACCTTTCAACAACACAACAACAACAACCACAGCCACCAGTGGCAGCTGCTGGACTAGCATCAGGCTAGTTCTTGGTGCTTTGTGTATTCAACAACCACACTTTTGTCTCTATGCAAGGTGGAGATTCCTCCTGTTTTCACTCCTCCCTCTCTGATAACCCAGATCCATCTCTCAGGCTTCCCCAGTCTAGTTGGGGGTTGGACTTGCATCCCCCCTGAATCAACCCAGCTTCCCAGGGAGGTTGGATGGGGATTCTGGGAATTGTAGTCCCTTGGAACTTCCTGATTGATTCCCAGGAGTATTGATGTTGTGGTCAAGAACTGGGCCTGTTTATTCTCTTCTCCACCCTTCAAACAATTTTGCGTTGAAGTTTCAATGCAAGAGTTGCCAGTATTGTGGGTGCATCTTTCATGACCCACACTTCGCCCCCCAAAACAAGCAAGTCCATTAAAAACCCAGTTACAAAGAATCCTGGTTTATTACCAAGGGTGGTATTCATCCGTTTTGGACTGGTTCGGGCGAACCGGTAGTTCCAGCGATCGCGGTTGAATCCCACCCATTTATTACCCATCCAACACACAGCCTAAATTGGGCAGGTAATGCCACCTCTTATGACACAGGGCCAAGCTTCACCTTCTGAATTTCTGCCTGCCTGTGACTAGGAAAGGCACACGAGCCTCGGTGGAGTTTGGCGCTGTGGTCGGTTGGCAACCAGCAATTTGTATTCCCTTCTCCTCCATTCATTAGAGACACAAACCTGTTTGTGACTTTAATTTTGTCCCATCTCCCAATTTTATTATTTTTATTGTTATTGTTTTGAGAGATGTGGCAAACTCTACCAAGTCAAACTCTGAACTGGCGTTTTCAAACCGGGTTTTGCTTCAAACCACAATGGTTAATAACAGCCTTCTACTTTTATGTATACATATATAATATATGTATATGAAATATATATATAAATATAATTTTTTTAAGCCTTTAGACGTGACTAGCTTCTTTCAAAGTTCTCCACTGGACCCCCCCCCCAAAAAAAACCCATTTTTGAAATTTCACGGGGGTTTAAACGGAGGGGGGGGGGTGTCAGCCTGATGATGATTATTTTTGTAAAACTTTTCTTTGGACTTTTGGTTGATTTTACGACATTGTACTGTAGCTTGTTTTTCCCCCTTTTTTTTTTATTGGTTTGTGTTCTTTCTGTTCTGCAGAAACGATTCTAAGTGTAATTCCTGTGGTTTCTATTCCGCTTGGGTTTTATGTTTTAAAATAAACAACTTTGAAAAGGCTCCGCTCCGAGTAATGAATGGTTTATATACGGATAAGATTTCATCGATTTCATTATTCACCATTTAGCACAGAGGTCTCCAAACTTGGCAACTTTTAAGACGTGTGGATGTCAACTCCCAGAATTCATAGCTGGCTGAGGAATTCTGGGAGTTGAAATCTTTAAAAGTTGCCAAGTTTGGGGACCCCCGACTTAGTGGCTTTACCCGAGATTGAAAATTTGCCTGGCGGGTTGTACCTACTCCTTCCACAAGGGGGCAGCACCTGTCTGCATTTTCCATGGACAAAGGGAGAATTGTTTCCCTTAAAAAATCAGATCGAATTAGCATACAGGTATTCCTTGATTTACGACCGTTCCTTTAGTGACGGTTCCAAATTACAACAGCATTGGGGAAAAAAAAACACACGGCATGCTCGTTTTTCACACTGGTGACCCCTGCACCCTTCCTGCTGCCATGTGGTCAAAATTCAGATGCTTTGGCAACTTGCCTCGTATTTATGATGGTTGCGTTTTGCGACCTTACGACAAGCCAAGTCAACGGGGTGAGCAGGATTCATTTAACAACTGTCCTACTAACATTAGTGTGGTGATTCATTTAACAGCTGAAGCAAGAGAGGTTGTAAAATGGGACAAAGTTTGCTTCACAAATGTCTGCCTTAGCACCCATAATTTTGGGGCTCGTTTGTGGTCCTAAGTCGAGGACCCCCTAGCTTTCAGACTCATCAAATCACAGGGCTGGAGCCTGGAAGGGACCTTAGAGGTCTTCTAGTCCAACCCGCTGGTCTTCCTGGATCTCAAGGCTCTACACACAAGCTAAAAAAAGCTAAAGGTTCCCTCTCGCACATCCGTGCTAGTTGTTTCTGGCTCTAGGGGGCGCCGGTGCTCATCTCCATGACAAAGCCGAAGAAGAGCCAGCGCTGTCCAAAGACGTCTCCGTGGTCATGTGGCTGGCAGGACTAAATGCCTTTGAAGGCGTATGGAATGCAGTTTACCTTCCCACCAAAGGGGTCCCTCTTTTCCTACTTGCATTTTTTTTACCTGCTTTCAAACTGCTACGTTGGCAGAAGCCGGGACAAGTGATGGGAGCTCACTCCGTTACGCGGTGCTGGGGATTCGAACTGCCGAACTGCCGGCCTTTCTGATCGATAAGCTCAGCATCTTAGCCACTGAGCCACCATGTCCCTCTAGGTTAGTTCTAATTTAGAACGAGTAACAAAGTTAGAAGGGGCCTTGACAACTTGAAGACGTGTGGACTTCAACTCCCAGAATCCCCCCAGGAAAGCCAAGAAAGCAATAAATACCCCCCCCCCCAAAAAAAGAGCTTCCAGTAATTAATTAGCCAACAAATTCTTTTATTGAAAGCACAGAGAAGACACGGGCCACAGGCAGTCTGTGGCAGATCAGGTTTAATTCCCTGAGAATATTAAATCATTATTTCCCTCCCACACATTTTTCTTCTTTAATATATATATATATTTATAGCGAGAGTCACATTATATATATATATATATGTACACTACTTTACAGAAAGCCACATCCCAGATACTGGGATTTATAAATTACAGATAAGTAACAAACGACACAAAACTTTTTCCATTTTTCTTGTTGTTTCCCGAGATCAGGAAAAAAAAATAGTTTTTCCTTTTTTTTTCTTTTTTTTTTTGCTCTTCACTTTTAAACCCACCCTCGACAAAAATCACACAGGACTTGACATTTTTCACACACACACAAAAGGCACAGTAAATAACACTGTTGCAATAAAATATTTACAAACACTACCCACTATGGGCCTTGTTGTTGTTGGTTTTTTGTTTTTACTTTTATTTTTGTTTGCGAGGGAAGCATTCGCCTCTCCGTCTCTGCCTCTGGGACTTAGGAAGAAAAAGCCATTCGGCATTTTGCAGGAGAATGAAATTCAACTCTTGGGGTGAAAATGCTACAGCCAAATCTCCCTGGCCCAGAGACTGAGAGGTTGCAGCGACGGGAGATGGCGAATCAACACCATGTCCAACTTATAAGAGAAATACAAGGATCCCTCATTGCTTCCAACATCTTTAAACCCCTTTTAAATTAATACACAAGTCATTCCTACCAACTGCAAAAATTTGAGTCTGGATGTTGCTACGATCCCATCTCGATTTTACAGACCCTGATTCAACAGACTTTGGATTTAACAGACAATATCTGAATTTGGGTGGCTTCAGCAAACAGCGTGGTAAATCAGACCATGTGGATACATATTTTTTTGTAAAGTACATGGGTGTATGACATAAATATTATGAACATCATGTAACATTCACGGGTGTTACATAAAGTTGGATTTAATTAACATTTGGCTTTAACGGACACTGGTTCCTCCCAATTGGTCCATAAAATTAAAAGACTTACTTACAGTAAGTAAAATTAAATATTACTTAAATTACTTACTTAAATATTAATTCAGGTGGGGCCCAAAGTCGTGAGCCAACATTTTGTGCTTTGCTGGGAACAAATCCCATTTAATAGGGTAGGATTTCCTCCTGAGTAAACTCCACAGAGGATTGCTTATTATATATATATATTTATAAATTATATTTAGTAGAATCAAAATAATTGCATCTTCAAAGGGTCTAAAATTCTGAACCTACATAGGCTTCTGTTGTCATTCTTACCAACATTCGGGCAACAAAACAGATCTAAGAATACAACAAGGCAGAATGTTATATATATACATATATATATATACACATACATATAACATTTTGCCTATATATATATATATATACACATACATACATATATATATATGTGTGTGTGTATATGTGTATATGTATATATGTATATATATATACATATTATATATATATATTGGAATTGAGGATTTCTGGAGCTGTAGCCAGCCAATCTGCTATCAACTCTTTGCTTACATTTGGTATTGAATATTGATTTAATTTAATTAAATCAGAATTAAATGCAGCTACGCAACTACAGGTGCATTCCACAATTCTGGACTTAGGTGCAGTTTTACAACCCTTTGCCTGTTTACTCATAAGAAGCCCACCAAACTTCTGTAAAGGCAAGGAGGCCGGGATGAAAAGGATTAGATAATATCTCCGTGCCAAAAAAAAAATCCCCTATCGTTTGAGTCTTCCTTCAGTGCAACTGCAAAACGTGAGTGTTCAACAAGAGACCAGCTCTAAATGAATTTAGGGGAGAAAAAGGCTTTCTGTCTCAGAGGAAAGTCTACATATAGCACGAGGGAAAGGAACAACCCCGAAACAACATCAACAAAATTTTTTACAAAAACACACACAGAGCAAATCAGCAAAAAAAAAACTTGTTTCCTATGTAAACCTTCATCTGAAAAATTATGCGGAGCCTGAAAAAGCAGGAAGGAAGGAGCGGGGAAAAGATATGTCAAAAATAGGAAGAAAGACAGCCAGTGGCCAAAAGTAGCTTTTTTTTTTTTTCTAGCTATTTTAGATTCAAACTCCAATAGTTCCCAGCCAGAAAAATGATTGGAACTGGAACACCACAAAGTTAAAAGACTCCAGCTGAAAAAAAGACCAGGTTTTTGAGGGGGGTGAAAAAAAATCTGTAAAATGGCATCCTGGCTTTAATTACAATGCTGTGAACGTGATCTTGGAAGTGTTGATAGCCTCAAACAGCCCAAACCACGACACAACCAGGCTAAGCTTTAATCCAGTGTTTCTCAAAGTGGGCAACTTTAAGACGAGTGGACTTCCGCTCACCAAATTCCCCCAAATTACAACGGCTGGACTTCAACTCCCAGAATTCCCCAGCCAGCATGCTTGATGTGGAAGCTGACTGGGGAATTCTGGGAATCGAAATCCACCCACCTTAAAGTTGCGAGTTTGAGCAATGCTTACTGGATCTTTCTTTTGACCGGTTAAAATGGGGGCAATCCCATACCAGCTTAGCATCTGCCACAACGCATGGTTTTAAAAGTGCTTAAGATTTGGCAGTTTGCAGAAGTGTTTTGGGCTTTGCAGAAATGGATGAAGAAGAAGCAGCAAAGGGTCCACCTCTCAAAATATTCTGGAGCAAGGAAGACCTGCAGCATTGCCTTCAGCAGGTGGCAGGTAGACAAAGGTCTTTGTCATCACCACCAGCCTTGAAACCCTTGCAAAGGAAGGGAAGGCTGGAGAGAGAGAGAAAAAATATCGCAATTGTTCTCGCATTGGGAGCTTCTAAAATATCTATACCCTGATCGTCACCGGGAGAGGGACACAGCGAGGCGCACAAGACCACACCGCAGCTGGTGGAAACATACACAACACACTGTGAACTAACCACAGTAATTAGGATCTCATTGCTTCACAGCAAGCGAAGGACGCACGCATACAGACACGCTAATAAAACTACGGGTCCCGAAAGCTCTTCGGATACCGGAGAACTCGGGACGAGGTTAAAGGGACGTCGAGATTTTTAGTAGGCGATGTTGGAAGGACACCAAGGCGTATCCGGGTAGAGCAAGCAATGGATGGAGCGAAACCTAGAAGAAGAAGAAGAAGAAAACAAGGTGTCAACTCATAAAATATTTCTATGGTCTTTTTAGAGTGACCAACAGAAAGGGAGTGGGGAGCAATGCAGCAGCTTGCAAACTGAAAGTGCATTCCATAAATGTTTTCAAAGATAGTAACTAGGTGACTGAAGTTTCTACAGCAAAAAATTCTCACAGGACAGCATGATTGATGACTCTGGGCTATGGATGTGTCCCACTGGAGAATATGAATTATGATGCACCCAAGGGGTGGAGGGAAAACCAGGGTTAAGGGTGACAATGAATGACGTGTCTCAGAGTCGGCTACCACCCAGGCAGTGCTGGCGTGTTAACTCCCAATAAATCCTTCTGAAGTTTTGGAAATTTGGCTCGAGATGATTTAAATGGGGTTAAGTGGTGGAATCCTGACACAAGGGTTGGGATGAAGGTCAAGGAAGACACAAGCAGATCACCATCAGCGTACAATTTGTGATCTAAATTGCAACGTGTCGGGATGATGTGATGCCTGGGTGGGATCTTCTGACAAGCAGAGTCAACGAAGGGAAGCCACATTCGCTTAAGGGCCACGTTACTAGCTTAACAACGGCAGCAAGGAAGGTTGCAGAATGGGGCAAGTCTTGCTTAACAACCATCTAGGTCAACCATGGAAATGGGCTCAGTTGCAGCCGTAAGGTAAATACTGCCTGTGTTGTGTGAAATGACTCTGCAAATACCTGTGGATGCCCAACTGTTTAAGGTTGCAGAATTACATCTCACAATTTGGAAGTAAATCCTCTGAAGCCAGAGGGACTTCCGACAAAATCTATCTATCTATCTATCTATCTATCTATCTATCTATCTATCTATCTATCTATCTATCTATCTATCTCCCTCTCCCTTTTCTTCCCCCACTCCAAAATATTATAGACTTTCCTTTCGGTCATTTCTAACTTCTTTCCTTCACACAGTGTAAATTTCAGCTAATTCAGACGACAGACAGATGCGATTCTTACCTGGAAGGATCTTCCTCCACTGAGAAAGCCCCCTTCATATGGATGGAATTCCTCTTATTTTCAAACATCCCATAACTCAAAGTGACCTTGGGAAAAAAAGGGGAAATGCAAGATTGAGCTACAAATGCAACAAAGTGATGCTCCTCTTTAAAACACACACAAAGAACGGTTGCTGGAGTTGGCGATGTCTAGTTTCATGAAAAGAAGGACCTGGGGAGACAAGATAGCAGTGTTCCAGTATCTCAGGGGCTGCTCCAAAGAAGAAGGAGTCAAGCTCTTCTCCAAAGCACCTGAAGGCAGGGCAAGAAGCAATGGGTGGAAACTAATCAAGGAGAGAAGCAACTTAGAACTAAGGAGGAATTTCCTACCAGTGAGAAGAATTAACCAGTGGAACAACTTGCCACCAGAAGTTGTGGATGCTCCAACACTGGAGGTATTTAAGAATAGAGCAGACAGACATTTATCTGAAATGGGATAGGTCTCTAGTTGAGCATGGGATTAGACTAGAAGACCATCAAAGTTTCTTCCAACTCTCTTACTCTTTTGGCAACTCTCCCCAAGTGACTGCCAAGATGGGTTTGTCAATTCCCAAATATCAATTCATCAGAACATTGATTTTGGGAGTGGGGAGATGGGGTCTCCTGGCTAACTTTGTAACCTTCCTCCCAGGATGATTCCAGATGGGTTACATTTGATGCAGATTTCCAACCTCCTATAAAGTCTGAATTTTTTAATGCTTTGTTTCTGGGCCTGGGTGACTTAAATCCTTCAGTGTTTTTACCTGTTTGTGGATCTCAGACTTGGGTACTTGATGGAGATTCTCAAGATGTGAGTGGAAAAGATTACTTCGGATGAGTTTCACCCCCAGGACAGATTCTATAATGTACCCAATGGTGCAATCATCGGGGAGGCGAATCTTTTCCGCGGTGCTCATGAAGTGCCCACCGCTGGAGGAGAGAAAGGGACGAGAATTGGAAGAGAGTAAGAAAAAAAAAGCAGGCTTCGTTATTATTCCATCTGTTCCCAATTTGAAAACACCCAAAGGATTAAACTCTAACATTAAAAGCCCTCACATTTATGTGTAAGGGAAAACACAATTTGTTAATGTGGTTTTCCAACTGTCAGGTGATGGATTCATGTGTCGAATTCAGATGTGCTAAGCATGGTTTGAATAAGTCATGACTGGGTCTCCAGCAGGTTAAAAGCAGGGAAATTTGGAAAATTAAGGGGTAAGTTTGCTAAAATTTTGGAGTCCCAATACCTATCTTGCTTTATACATTTAAGAAACGACCTTCTGCATCAAAGGTGCTAAAATGTAGCCCATAAATATTATGGAGTTTGATCTGTAACCACCGTTGAGATGTGTCAGGGATGGTTGATGTGTATACTCTATGTTTTTAATCCTCCAGTTTTCATATTGCAACAACTATACACTCAACAAAACCAAGTCTCTTACCTGGCCCAAGGGGTCATCTTCAGTGCCAGACCACGACTGATGCAGAACCCAGCACCACCGGTGGCAAACCAGAAGTGGACCGGATGCTGTGGGGTGAGAAGAAACAAGAGATGAAGACTCAAGAAGGGTCTTTTTTTGACACAGAAGAGCACCTGGAGTCAAAGGTTTGGCCAATTTCCCAGAGACAGTTGGAACCCAGGGAGGGAATCCCATCCAAGGTCTTCTCCAAGAAAGGGATGCCTCCTTTGAACCAGGAGATGCATAGTTGGACAACCCCAAATGTTCACCATCAAGTCCACTCGTTCTCCTTGCTGGCTTACCATCTTGTTCTCGCTGATTCTCTCGGTGGCCTGGATTGGCTTGTCCAGACTGGGTTTTCCAATGTAGATATCCTGCGTGTGAGCATAGCTGGAGAGCAGTTTGACCAACATCTGGACATTTACATAATTATCATCGTCCACGTGGCAAAACCACCTAACGCAAGAGCGAAAACAAGACTGGATTAGGTCAGGAACCGAGGAATTCAAAGGTGCTTGGATTACTGATCTTCGATCTGTTAGGACATCAACCCAAGAAGTCTAGCCTTCAAACATTTCAGCTGAACCTCAGTGGGCAGGATCATCTGAATTCAGATATATTCAGACAAAGGAGAAGAATTCAGCTCTCCATTTAAGCGTTGTAGAACATCCAGATGTTCTACATCTGAACTCTCTTCCCTTCCAAAAGGAGAGTATCCAGATCCTACAGCTTTGGAAATACAGCTGTGAATTCACACAGCTGTGAATCTCCCTCCCCAACTACCCTCTTTTCTCTGTTCTTACTTTCGTCCGGATTCAATGAACTGGTCATATTCGACCGCCATCTTGCAGGATAAGGCTTGCCGGCTGTGAGCAGAAGAACAATTGGTGTTGATGACATTTCCTGAAGAGAGACAAGGGGGGAAAATGGTCAAAATGCATTAAAAGACAAAGTTACTACAACTGAATTCAAAAAATCCATAACATGAGAAGGATCTTCATTAGGCCCAGCTAAGGGGATACTTCCCAAAAGTTTTGCATACTCTTTGATGACATTGTGGTGCCCAACTATGGATATTTTTCCCCCTATGGATCGATTTGGTTTATGATGGTCTCCATTGTCCTACATCTATCAATCCATCTTGAGCAGCTTAGGTCATTGCTTAAGATCTCAGCTAGAGGTTTGATCCAGCCCCGTGACCAAGATTCTGAATCAGAACCCTACAAGATCACTTCAGGTTATACCCTGTTCTCATACTGTATTGAGCTGATTAGCTCAATATTCAGGCACAGGACATCCTTCTGAAAATTGCAGGCTGAAATTGGAAAGTTCACCCAGAAGATCGGTGGAGGAACATACAACCACCATGTCTGTCCAAGGATTTTGGTATCTTTAGAGCAAGGGTTTTCAAACTTGACAGCTTTAAGACTTGTGGACTTCAACTCCCAGAATTCTTCCTCTTCCAGTCATGTTAGCTCAGGAATTTTGGGAGTTGAAGTCCACAAGTCTTAAACTTGCCAAGTTCAAGAAGACCCTTGCTTTAGAGTCACACTTCCCTATCTCCCAATTCCTCAAGACCAGAAGATAACTTGAGTAACCAACAAGAAAACCATCCCAAGGTGCTTTTCCAAAAGGCAACTGGACTTTCTTGGTTTCTTCCTTGGAAACATTTTACTTCTCCAAAGAAGCTTCTTTAGTTCTGAAGGAGCTGCTTGGATGAGAAGCTAAATGTTTTCAAAGAACCAAAAAAACCAATTGTCTTTTGGAAAAGCAGCTTTGGGACAACCATGACCAGGATGATGGAGAATCTCTGTGCCTTTATAATAGCTTCAAGTAATCCCCTGAATATTCCCACCCCAAATGTGGACGCGGAGCAACCTTCTGCAGATGTTTAACTGTTAGCCAAGACAAATGCAGATGCGTTCTCCTCTCCTCCTTGCTGACCAAAAGGAAATTCCTTTGTTCCCAGACTTAACCCAGCCAAGTGTTAACTCAGAAAGGAAAATGTGGGAAGTGGAACAGAAAACTGGATCTTTCCAGCCCCCCTTTTAACAGTCTTTGTCTGGCTATTCATGCCAATCTTTTCTCATCATTTGCCACCTGCTACTCCTTTTGGTTGTCTGGAGAGGAATCCATTGAAAGCATGAATAGAGCCCATTAGCATCAGAAGAATAGGAGGGTCTGAACTAGCCTGGGAGGAGGAGAGGAGGAGGGGGGGCTCTCATTAAACACTCACTGAGTAAGTATCCACCTTCCCTCCCTCCCCTAGGGAAAGTTAATCGCCACATTCCCTGGGAATCGAATCGCACCATCGGGGTCTGTAAGAAAGGGGCATTTTCGACACTTGTCCAAGAGGAAATCCCACCAACTCACCAATTCTCTGTTTGAGCTCTTGGTCTTCGCCATCGGTGAAGATGTAGGTCTAGAAAGAAGAGGGGGAGAAATATTTAGGAATGTGCTGCTTTTCAATCATGCCAAGCCACCGGATGGGTTGCAAATCTAGATTTGCATTCGTTCAAACCCCCATGCAAATCGCAGCCCTTGATGGAGATTTGCATAAACATTCCGTTGCATGCATCACGGTTCAAAGTTTACAACAGGGCGCAAACCGAGGCCTAGCTTTTGTTTTTTGGCAAATGCCATGGGGCTTTTAAAAAGCAAGCCTGTTTGGTGCCCGCCCCCCACCCACCCACCCGCCCCCACCTCCGGGCTAAGCATTGGGTCACAAGGTTGAGTTTGCTGATTTTTTTCAGGGAAGATCTCAAGTTTTTTGCACCAGGCGCAGGAGAACTTTGGGAAGATAAAAAGAGGAAGATAAAAGCGAAAATATAAACCCAGCCTGGAGCCAACGCTTCATTTGCATTGCAAAGAGATTATTGATTAAAAACATTTCGAGAGCCTGGGAAGGTCAGGGGAGAAACTAAGAGGGGAGCACCTTCACCAGGTGATGTTCACCTGTCCATCTGTTGCCCGATGGAATAATGCATTGAGAATTGGCATGAATGATTTTTCACACCTGCTCTGGTTCCCCCAACCTTTTCCCAAGGTCTTCAGGGTCCGTCTATCTAGGAAGCTGCTGTGACCACCACAAATCCAGGGGTTGCCAGCTCCGGTCTTCATCCCCGACCACACCTGCCCCTTAGGTTTGCCTGATAACAGCTGGAACACCACCCATCCTTGCCTGGAAGTAGTTGGCCTCCAACGGCCACCTGAACAGGAGCCAAAACGGGTGAAGGCCGCCCCGCCCTGCCATCTCCACCACCTGCCTGGCTGCACTTTCTTATTGACAGAGGCAGGGAGGGGAGAGCCTGGCATCTGCTGCCTGTCTGGGAGGGCTGGCAAGGGTGGCAAGGAGGGAGATTGTTCAAGATCTGGTTGGGAGAGAAGAGAGGACGGCCGTGCCAAAGCAAGACAAAGCGAGAGGAAGGGAGGAGGAGGAAGGGATGGAGGAAGAAAAAGAGAAAAGGGAAAGGAAGGAGAAAAAGAAAGAAAGAAAGGAAAGGAAGGGAGGAGGAAGGGAGGGAGGAAGAAAGAGAAAAAGAAAAGGAAGAAAGGAAGGAGAAAAAGGGAAGGAAGGA